AGATAACCATGTGTTATAAAACAACCTATATGTTCACCATTTTTTAATTTCCTATCATCTTGTTTTGAAATTCAGTATTGTTTTTAATTTTTAATTCCCTTTAAAATAAAAAATAGCACATTTTATTGGAATATTGGCACAGAATCATTTTCTAATTGCTGTCCAATATTCCATAGTCATAGACATAGCACTAAGCTATTTTTCTTCTTATCCAAATTTCACAAACTTGCTAACTGCAGAAACAAGTGATGAATGTCCCAATTCTTAGGACTTTAAGACTCAAGAGCTGCAGAAAATGAGGATTATAAAGCATAAATTCACAGGAAAAATCCACAAATAATAAATGAGTGATATCTATTATTATAAGACACTATTTTTTTCTCTATGTGTTTAAAAATGTGAACATAGGAGAAGTTGAGATTCATTGGCAGAGTGATGGGAGGCATCTGCCCCACACTGTTCATGGTAAGAGTGACATTATCTTTTCCAAGGACAGCAAGAGCACAGGAACAGCGGCAGAAGCTTTCTACACAAGAGACAGGCGTGGGTGACAACATAGTTTTCTGAGTAATCAACGCCCTCCAGCTGCACCCTTGTAAGCTTGGCCCACATCAAGCTTTGGCAAAGCACAGAATAAAAAGACATTTTCTTTGAAAGAAGATAATGAATTATGTCAGACTTTGTGAATTAGAGAGCTGTGTAATGAAGCCAAACCCTACACTGCACAGACTTTGGTGTAGATTAGGGAAGAATGAAGACTTGATTATAGTTTCTGTTTTCTTTCAAACATCAGTCACGCATTTCTTAGTGTGAATTTCTTTCTCATATTATTCCTGGTCGTCGATTTGAATTTCACGTTAATAACCTGACAGCCCGCTATAATAACTGACTGCTTTAGTGTCTTCTTTATTTTCAGGCTTCTGTTTATTTTCTTTGAAGGGTGGCAAGTATTAAACAGAATAAAACCTGTTTGGTTAACACTGTCTTTCCTTTAGGAAAGAGAGAGAGAGACGTTGTGCGGTAGTTGGAAAGAATATTTCAAATATCTGTTATTCTATGGGATAATAACTACATAGAAAAGTTCTCACTCAAAACAAAAAAAACAAATTTGTTGAGTATAAATAGTATTTAATTTTTAAATTTAGCTTATTTTATTGTATTTGATTAGAGCAGCTAACATGAGATATACATTCCTACCAAAATTTAAATTTTACACATAGTATTTTTTGGTCAACACATATGTGTTATACACATATTGTGTCTTGTGTCTATTTCTATTCTTTCAGGAAAGTTAACAGTAAACTCTGTTCTTTAAAGGCTGATATTTCACTGAATAGGAACAGAAGTCATTTGTTTATTAACTAATTTTTTCTTATTTTATTGAGAAATAAATAGAAATAAGACAGTTTCAAAACTGATTAATAGGACAGTTTCAATAATACATTGTACATTGTTATCTTCTTAGCTGTTATCCACAGTACAATATGCAGACAGAATATCCTGTTCAAACACTATTAGTACAAATCTTTCTTCTCATTGAATTAAGCGAAAGTAGCTGAACATCTATCCTAACTATTCTGCATATAGATACAAAATGGTTCTTCATTTGTATCCCCTTTTTTGTTTAGTCATGTAAGAAATGGGTACTTCATTGGCATCTAAATACTATAGGTGTGTGAATTCAGCAAAACAAGCCAACAGAGTCCAGCAGTCCACAATAGTAGTGGATTATCCCCAGAAATTGTTGACTAGAACCTTTCACAGCTCAGCATATTAACATGGATTTACTTTATATACTTCATTTTTATACTTTTCTGCTGGATGGTTAAGACCAAGATAAAGCAAGACCTATATAAAAAGAAAAGTACTTTTTGTATCTGATAAGGTCACGCAAGTCCCCTCAGGATTTATCCTGTTAACCTGTACAGCAGTTTGTAGATCCTTTTTCAGTGTCAGCCATGTGGATGAGTCACGGCCATTGCTTCACCAATTTGCTCTCTGTGAAAGCCTGAGAGAATATTTTCTCTCCACATGACTCACCTTAGGCACATGCTACAACATTGATCACATTGCTCTGTGACCCCCTTAATCTCCTGGATCAGAAAATTGGGACACAATTGAGTTACATGATATTACAGTACAGGTTTTCATATGTCCTGAGTCTTCACTGACCTTGAAAAGCTATGGTCAAAATGTTGGCAGTCCTTGCAGTCTTTCTATTTCTCTATTTTTTCATTATTAACCCTCAAAAAGAGAAGCTTGTTATTACCCTACATCTTATGCATTTGAGTTTAACTTCACCCTCTGCCTGAATATAAAATATCTTATGCATAACATAGAACAGGTATTTTCCATCAAGTATTGATCTGTTAAACATTAAGTTCATACAGATTATGGAGATAAAAATTTAAAAACTGAAACATCTTTAAAGAATATGAATAAACAATTACATATTTTCGCACAGAAAATTAGAAATCTAACTTCGTACAGCATTGGAGCAGGACAATTCTGTGACTTTTTTTCTTTTTCTTGTGCCTTTTTTTCATTTATTACCCATCAAAAACCTTTTTACTTGTGAGATGGTATGGTAATAATTGGTATGTCATGACAAGAAGTACATATTTAGAAGACCATAATGACAGGCATTCCAAGTGTGACCCTTCTATTAAACACTGTAATCTTCAGGGCAGTTCCTTGGTTCACAGGTATCAGCACGTATAGTTGTCAGAGTGAGAATCCTACCAATTAACTGCTACTTTGAAAAACCTGCTGACATTTCTCAGAATCATTGCCTTGCCCCTCTTGCTCATTTCAATGTATGGCTTTGTCCCTGTCCTGTTTCCCAGCTTTTCTCCTTGCCCTTTTCTCATTGTCCAATCCTCAAGTTCTTACTTTCCTTTTAATTGTGTTATATCTTTCTATTTGTATTTCTTCTTCTGAGTTCTTATACTAGGGAGACTATATGATATTTAGATGGGTGGGTCTGGTTTATTTCACTTATAAGTATATCTCAAGTGGCATCCATTTAAATATAAATGCTTTAAGTTTATAATTCTTTATAGCTGAGTAATATTCCATTGTATAAAAATCTTTTTCAACCATTCTTCATGTGATGGGCATCTTGGTTCTTGTGGTGCTATAAACATAGGTACACATATATCACTATTATATGTTGTTTTCAGTTCCCCTGGGAAAATTCCCAGTAGGGGTATAGCTGGCTTGAATGGGATTTCCAGTCCTAGTTTCTTAAGGAGTCTCCACACTGATTTCCATAATGGTTGCACCAGTATATATTTCCACCAGCAGTGGAGAAGTGTTTCCTTTTCTCCACAGCCTCTCCAACTTTCGCTGTTGGTTGATTTCTTTAAGATAGCCATTCTTTCTGGGGTGAGAGGGTATCTTGGGGATATTTTAATTTGCATTTCACAGAATGCTAGTGAAATGGAGCATTTTTTCATATATTTATTTGCTTCTTTAATTTCGTACTCTGAGAAGTGTGTTCATCTTCGATATCCATTTCTGGATTGGGTCTTCAAATTTAGGGCCCCTAATGCTTCTTAGTTCTTTATAAATTCTAGTGAGGAAACCTTTTTCTGAATGTTTATAAGTTTTTTGAGATTTGTGGCTTGTCTTTTCTCTTTATTGGTAATTTCTTTTGACGTGAAAAAATTGTCAACAAGAGTTGGTCCCAGTTGGTAATTCTTTCAAGTGTTACCCGGGCAATTTGATTTTTGTTCTTGAACTATTTGCCTACCCTTATCTCTTCAAGAGTTCCTCCTACATTCTCTTCCAGGAGATTTTGTGTTTCTGTTTTAATGTGCAAATCTTTAATCCATCTTGACTTTAGCTTAGTGAATGGAGATAGACTTGGGTAAAGTTTTAGTTTTCAGCATGTAGAGAGCAAGTTTTACAAGCACCATTTGTTAAAGATGCTGTCTTTCTTCCAGTAAGCATGTTTGGCCCCTTCACCTAAGATCAGGTGGCTGAGTGTGTTCATAGATGTTTCTGCATCTTCTAATCTATTCCATTGATCCTCAGGTATATTTCATTCCCAATACCATGCTGATTTTATCACAGCACCTTTGTAGTATAATTTCAAGTCAGGAAATTTAATACTTCCTGCCTTGTCTTTGTTGGGTAGGATTGCCTTTTCTGTTCTAGGTCTTTTCTGGTTCCAAATAAATTTTACCAACAATATCTCTATGTCTGGGATGTATGTTGGTGGTAGTTTAATAGGGATTGCATTAAATTTGTACAACAATTTTGGGAGTATCGCCATCTTCATGATGTTGGTTCTTCCTACCCAGGAGCAGGGAAAATCTTTCCAATTTCTGAAATCCTCTACTATCTCTTCTTTCAGAGAACTGTAATTTTCCCTAAAAAGATCTTTGACTTCTTTTCTTAAATGAATTCTAAGATATTTCATTTTCTGTGGTGCTATTGTAAAAGGTATTGTTTCCTTAATTCCCTATCAGTGTGTTTGTTTTCTGTGTAGAAGAATGCTATTGACTTTTGGGTAGTGACTTTGTATTCTGCTATGCTACATTTTGGCTCTGGGTTTGGTTTTCTCTTCCCATTCTAGATGCTGGTGGTGTAGCATTAGGGTGTTTATTTGTTCCCATTCTATTTTTCTAATATGTCAGTTCACAGCTATGAATTTCCCTCTGAGAACTGCTTTCATCGTATCCCATAAATTACAATAAGTTGTGCTTGAATTTTCATTGAATTGTAGATGTTGTTAAGTTTTTTAATTTCATCTGTGACCCATTGATTGCTGAGTACAGTGTTGTTTAATTTCCATGTATTTAGGTTTTTTCTCTGATTTCTTTTGTATTTTATTTCCATTTTCATTGCACTATTGTCAGATAATATGCATGGGATAATTTGTCATACTTAAGTATGACCTATGAACTACTATGTAGTCTATTTAAAAAATGACACATGTGCAGCTCAAAAAATTGTGCATTCAGCTGTGGATGGAAAGAACACTCTGCATATGTAAAAATATAGAATGCTTCTCAAATTTGCCTGTCATCCTTGTGCAGGAGCCATGCTAATCTCCTTTGTAACATTCCAATTTTAGTATATATGTTGCCGAAGTGGGGACTATGTGCTAAATGTTAATGTAAGTTAAAATTCTACTTCCAGACAATCCATTCACAAAAAAATCATAATTTTCAAGAAATATGCTATCAGAGTCCTAGCCCAGGTCCGGTGAGTGTGTGGGAGAGTTTCTTGATACCCTGAGATCAAGGCAAGGACCAGTACCTACTACTGGTCCAGGCAAGGCGCAAAGTGGGTGAGACCCTCTTCCAACCCCTTGGGATGCCCCCCACCACTCCACAGCACCTCCCCTACCCCGCCCGCTGAATAGGAATTTCTGCCGTGTTCTGGGAAACCCCAGAACCAGGCCTAACCCAGGTCCGGTGAGTGTGTGGGAGAGTTTCCGGCTATCCTGTGCCAGCAGGACCTAATATTGGGCCCAGCACAGGGGCAGCATGGGTGAGACCCTCTTCCACCCCCTAGGGACACCCCTCACTACTCCGCAGCACCACCTCCACCCTGCCAGCCAGGTAGGAATTACTGCCACATTCCGGGAACCCTCAGACCCAGTCCTAGCCCAGACCCAGTGAGTGTGTGGGAGAGCTGCCTCTCCCACCTACTCCACCTTGTCCCCTCCAGGCTCAGGTCAGGCCTGGCATACAGGCGTAGGGAGTAACCATGCAGCTGAAATCCCTGCAGAGAGTGTAGAGGATAGAACCACGCAGCTAGTCCAGGAGCAGAAAATCTTGCCAGAGGGACACAACAGGTTCGCCCTCAATGGCAGCAGCAGGAAGGAGCTGAAGACAGCAGCCAAACCCAAGCCAGGCAGAGCTGGATAAAGCCAAACTTTGTAGATCTGCACCTGATCTTCAGTATGTGCTAGGGTTAAAACTACAACGAAGATCTTCAACAAAGGTCAGAAGACAGTGCTACACAAAATGACGAGAAGGAACAAAATGCAACCTCAGAATCCAACCCCACCCGTAACAAGTGCAGAGGACACTAACACAGAACAAATTGGTAATCACACAGCTAAAAGCAATGAATCAACG